ATTGCTAGTTGCACTTTTCATAGATTCATAGATTGTAAGGCTGGAAGAGACCTTGGAAGATCATCGGGTCCAGCCCCCTGCACCAAGCAGAAAAGATAACTGGGGGCCAAGTGACCCCCAGCGAGGTGACCGTCCAGTCTCCTCTTGCAGATTTCCAGAGTAGGTGATTGCAGCATCACGTCTGGAGGAAGCTTATTCCACAGTCTGGACACCGTGACTGTGAAGAAATTTTTCCTAATGTTGAGTCTGATTCGATCTTCCAGGAATTTGTGGCCATTACTCCTGGTTTTTCCCCTTGGGTGCCCTGGTGAGCAGTTGTTCACTGAGCCCTTGATGTGCTCCTGTAGTGTACTGGTAAGATGCTACCAGGTCCCCACTCAGCCACCTTCCCCTCAGGCTGACTTTTCTTCACTAGAAAATTTTTAAAGAAATTGCACATTATCTGTGGACTTTTAGAATACTTTTTTTCTTCTAAACAAATCTTTTTTTTCTTGTTCACACATTTCTTCATTTCTGTCTTTCTCAGTCGCCCCCAGATGTTTAAAAATATATACATTTTGGAGCTGGTGGATTTTCATGCTGCTTGAGGCGAAAATGGCCTGCTGCTTTATCTTAAATATTTACATGAGTAGAAAGGGGTACCAAGAGTGAAATGCTATCAGGTCCATGGTAGTTGACTTTCCTTCCTTTGATATGCTTTTAAACGCAGTCCTAACTTTCATAGGTATCTTTATTTTTCACATGTGGACAGACCTTGGTCTTCACAAAGCACAAGGGGAGTGCTGGAGTGGGGGGAGGGAATGGGAATGATATCAGGGACCTAGTTATGGCTCTTGGATCTTGAGGCTGGTTTGATGCTGTCTCTGGCCCAAAGCAGGTCAGAAGTATGCTAGGTCCTGCTCTAAATGTTCCCTACTTAAAATAGCCAGAGTGCTGCTATTCCAGCCTTGACCTGCCCCTTTCTCCAGGGAAAGCAAAGAAGTGTGCTACATCTTCATTGCAGTCATGAGCTAAATTTACTTCTGGGTGCTCATACCTCATAATCCACACATCTAATCACTATTGAAAATCATAGGAAAACATCACATTCTCAGCTTTGGACAAAGAACATTGACTTGAAGTCAAAATACTAGTCAGTTGTAGTAGCAGCCTTTGTCTGAGAGCAAGAGATGGAAGAAGCTGACTTGTTCCTTCGTATAGTAACAATATATGCCAGCACAGAATAAGTTTGTCTGGTTTAATTTTGTACTCATTTTTATACATAGTTATCCAAAATATTTTTAAAGTAATTTGCCAAAATTGGATCACTTTATTTAAAATCCATATAAATTGATGTTCAGATGTGCTCCTCTTTGTGGGTCACAGCATGTGTGATGTCTGGAACCTGACATACCCTCACACAAAACTAGTAGCACACTGGTAAGCTACAATAACAGGCCTCCTGTGCACTCATCCATAAAACCACAAGATTTCTGAGTTCAGTGGTACACAAGATCACCTTGTCATGCTGTGTGAAAACATTAATTGATCTGGGATTTGTGTTAACTGTATGTTGCCTGATCGTGGTAGATATCTGCATGCACTCACTGTTTGCGTGTCGTCTTATTCTCTCGGACAATGTGAATCACTGAAAATCTGAGAAATGGTTCTTTTGCATCTTTCCATGGGAGTTCAGATGAGCCCTTTGTCCTTCCCACCTTCTGCTACTTCCACTGTTTTGGGAGTTCTGCACACAAGTGCCCACAAACTGCTGGCTATTTTTATGTAAATTATCCAGTGGCAAAGTAGTAGACTTATCCATTATTTTTGTCTTATCTAAATAAACGAATTGCTAGTGTTCCCATTTATGGAGTTGAAATTTACATATTCAGTAGCTACTAATTTACATATTCAGTTTTAGGGATGGTGTCTTTTTGCTGATAAAAGTGTACAGGGGTAAGTGCAGGCAAACAAAGACAAGACGAGCAAGCCTCTACATTAGAAACGTGAAACCAAATAGAAGAGGACAAAAGGACGTGGCAGTGTGTTAGTTGCCTAGCCACCTCTGGGGAGATGCTGAGGGCTTTTAACTCTCATTATGTTTAATAAGAGTTAAGGGTTTTAAGTGGAGACGCTCAGTACTTTGGAACCACAATATAAAGGAAAATCCTGGGTTTTCAGAACTTCCAAACTTAACAGTTATGCCCCAGCACTCCTTTCTCCAATTGGGAAATACGATTCATATTTATCAATTAGAAAGAAATAGAACAGAATCAAAACCCTTAATGAAAGTTTGCACTGACTGACAGGCTTTTATTGAAGTAATTCAAAAGTATCAGGATAAGCTTTTTTTAAAAAGAGCCAGAGAAGTATTGTAAGCCTGCAATTGTAAGCAGCTGTGAGAAAGTGAAACTCAATACGTACCCATTCCTGGGGATATGAAAAGCAGAAGTGTCTTATCACATGTACCCTAGGACAGCAAGGACACACTCACCTTTTACTTTTTCTTTTTTTTTTTTTTTAAGTATTAACGATATTGTATGATAGAGCAATACCTTTCTGAGCTCAGCTATTTCTGTAGTAACATCTGAGTGCACCAAATGCAAACCTCACCACAGGTACAGAAAGCATCCATGTGAGAGAAACATGTTTGCTTTGGGCCAGGTCCTGTTCCACCTATTAAGTTCCTAACTAAATTTAGGTGCATAATGTGAACTTATTTGACCCTGCTCATGTGAGTGAAAAAATGTTAATGCTAAAGGTGAGTGGGTCGTCTTCCTCATTGCATCTTAGGGCTAAAATGGTGGCGGGATAAAAACATACTAACAGTTTTTCAAGGATTTGGGAAAGGTGGAATGGGATTTCATTAAACACCAAAAGTCCCTGTAGATATTTAATGGATGGAATAGGACTTAGTCCTTTGTGGAAAACCACATTGTCATGGGATCCTACAGCTTAATTCTCCACCAGTTTGGATTTTAAGGGAAAAGAGTGTACATGCTCCTATTCTAATGGCACAAGTGCGAATTATGGAATGAAGTGCAAGGCGGTGCAGAATCAGACCCACAGGCTCAGTTCTCTCTTTCCTTATTCGGCAGTCACATTGCCCATTTTTAATTTAGCCTGTTAATTCTGAAATGTATTTGTAAAGGTTTACAATTAGATAGAAACCAAGTGGCTAAGAAATATGAGGAAACAGAGCAGGATCAAGAAGATTAGAGACAAAACACATAGTAGCTTCCCTGCACAAGAGTACCTCTGCCCCATATACCAATTAAATAAATCCTAATAGGTGGGAGTAAACCAGAACAGTTGCATGTTGGGTAAAGGCTACTTTTGAAGTACTACTGGCTACTGAACATTCAGTAAAATCGCAGGAGACTCACATGTGTGAATATAATTTCTGATTAACTTATTAGAAACCTGTAAGTTAGAACAGTAACTGTCCAACGCTTGCTCCTATCTGTGGATGCTAAATGAATGGGAGGTAGCAGTATCAGGTCAATGCCCAGAGTAAAAATAAGAGTATTTACTCTAGGTCTCCTACAGAGAGAGGAGGCCTTCCTCCTACAAACTCTTCGTAAAACCTACTTCCCTGATGGTTTAAACCAAACATGAAAGAAAATATAACCGTGCTAAAACAGAGTTTACCTACTGTGCACATATAACTTCCTACCTCAATACCCCTTGTAGAGAATGAAAAGGTCAGGGGTGTTATCTTCTGTTTTGCTACCAACGTACATTTTGGAAAGCCCTGAGAAATCAAGAAAAATTGGTTTTGAAGAAGAAGAATAAAACTATGACTTTTCCCACCCAATTTACAAAGCAAATATTCTGAGGTTAAAAAGCAAGATCTGAAGTATTCCTCACTTTATGTGGTGCTGCTAACTGCATGTGTGTAGAATAACAAACACTTCATCAATCTGGGAAAACACCGGACTTAAACTCTCAAAGAGAATCAAAAGCTTTAGGTATGATGGAGCTGAATATTGAAGGGCACAATACTAATTCTTCTGTTTTGTTTATAAACAAGGAACCTAGTTGTAGCCTCGAATCTTGCTGCTTTAGAGCAAGACTACAGGTTGCCTGGTACATGTATGCAGATTTAACCCACTGATACTTGGTCAGAGGTTTGCTAATTTGTACCTGCCTGTAGCTCAACCTGTTCTGTAGGTAGGTGAGCATGGGATAGAGTTAACTACTGATCTGTGTCCTATTTGAAAGGCAACATATTGTCAAATAAATCAGTGCGGCTATATTTTCTACCCTTTATTTGTATAGTACTTTAAGATTGTGCTGCTTCTGTATGTGCATTATTTGTGAAGCAGTTACAGTGGGGAGGGTGGGGGAGGAAGAATTTTTTTGAGAGGAATATTGCATATCATAATGAAGGTTGTAAGACTCATGACTTTTCTAATATCTTGGAGAAACAAGTCCCAAAGCTATGCGGCAAATGATAAGAAAGACAGGTCCCTTTCACTTTGGTATCTCATTTTCAAAGGGATCAGTTTATTCCAGGTGAGCACAGCTACAATCCTCATCAGTTCAGTGTGAGGAACATGAGCCTGGGGTAGACGGGACACCATGTACTGAAGGTCTGACTGATTGGTTTAATTGGATCCAGTACAGTATGGGGAGACAGCACAGAGTTCAGAGTGCAAAGCTAATGTGCAGTAATTTACTTGCGTTAAAGCCAGGTTTAGGACAGAGATGTTATTGATATCATTAATAAGTTTTTTAACTATCCTTTAGAAAATATTAGTGGATTTAATATATAGTAAAAGATTATTAAAAATGAAAATTTGGTATTAACATAGAAGCAAATAATTCATGATGGACATGAATCTCAAATGAAGCTTGTCAGAGTTTATAATTCACTGTAGACATAGCTTTTGTTCATAAGGTGTGGCTAAGTATGTGAAATATAAAGCAGGATATTTAACCAATAGGTATTTAAAATTTATTCTTACCTCTGGAAATAGGAATTTGCTATAACACATACTCTTTCTGCTTCTCTATAGATTAAAGCAAAAAATTATGACAAAGTGGAAAAGGTGAGTTCTATCATAAATTCTATACTTCATGTAATTTTAGGCCCTTATTAAAATATTCTGAGCTCCATAAACATGGAATACAGGTTTCCCTCGCTTTTTGCAGATTCTGTATGTGCGGATTCACTCTTATGCGATGATCCTTTTTATACCAAAAATTAATTATATGCAAGGTAAATTCACTCTTATGCGATTGGTGTGGTGGAAGCCCACTGTCAGCTGCTTTGTGCAGTACATTGTGGGTGTGATGCGCCCCAAAATATAGTCCCCTGCGTGGATCTGCTTCTCACTCGTTGTTTGCAATATGTTTTTCTGCAGTTGCCATCCCCATTATGGTAACATTCACCACCACCCTGTGCTTGTGCGTACTGTCTGCTGTTGGCGAGTACCAACATTGTCTTCTAAAAGTAGTAGAAACGGGTCTGGGGGTCAGTACAGTCGAGGTCTTGGAATGTATCCCTCTTTCTTACGCTTTAATGTGAGTTCCCTTTATGTGAATTCTAGTTATGCATCATTTTCCAGGAATGCATGTACAACATAAAGCGAGGGAAACCTGCATATATTTATAAGGGATTCAGGTTTCTTGTGATTAGGCTAGGATAGTAGTTTGGAAAGAACCGTTGTTTATATTGAGTATTTTGTCTAGTTTGCCCAAGATTCTTAAAAACTATGATTATCAAAATTGGTTATATTATTAACAAGTTATAATCAGCTCAGCTCAGTAATTCTTTGATATTTTATCCCTACCCTTGGTAATTTTAGTTCTTTCTAATACATTTCAGCTCTTATTAGCCATGATTTTAATTGAGGCTTCAAAGAATTTAATGTATATAAACCTCATCTCTGTTCTTGATTCCTGATAACGTTTTCTTAATTTGTTAAACAGTTGTTTCAGAGATGCCTTATGAAGGTTTTGCACATTGATTTATGGAAATGTTATCTTTCATATGTACGAGAAACCAAGGGGAAACTACCTAGTTACAAGTAAGTACAAATAGTTTGGTCTCAATTCTTTAGTATGGTGAATGTCTTCCTTTTCCTTTACAAGGCATGGAGTAGGGGTTCTATCTTGGAAAAAATCAGTCTCTGAATGTGAAGATCTGATCATAATTGGTCTTTGAAATATTTCTGCAGCTTGAAAACATTTTCTCTGAAAGACTTTCTTTTAATGTATACCTAATTCGCAATTTCATTGATTCTGTGAAATCCAGCATTGCCCATGAAATCCACAGTGGGGGGAAAAACTTACAGAAAATAAAATATTGGCTCACCAGAGGAAGCCAGTTGTCTTTAGGGTGCTGTGGCAGCCTGCCTGGGCAGGGAAGGAGGAAGGGGAGGTTGCCCACTCAAAGGGCTGTGGGCAAGATGACTGCCTGTCATGTGACTCTACCTCTCCACCAGTTGGCAGCAGGGGCAAGGCTGCATGATGGACAGCACTCACATCCCATCAGTGGTGATGGGTAGGATCACGTGACTGGCAGGCAGCCTTTGCAGTCAATCAGTGATGAGGGGTGGGGCCAGTAGGCCCCTTCACCAATCAGAGGCATCAGGGGGGCCCTGTTGCGTTCTGCCTCCGAAATGACTGCTGACCTGGCATTCTGCCTGTGAATCAACAGGCAGCCACCATGAATTAGGTAGGTTCCTACTTACTAAGTACATGCTGCCAGTTCCAAAAGTCTCGGGGAAGCTTACAATAAAAGATGAAAGTACTAGTAAAACGGAATAAAAGTAGGATGAAATAAATGTCCCCTCTCATGCCCCCCAAGACCTGCAAATTCAAAAGTAATCCATCCAAACCCACCCACCCACTCCCATTTCATTGCATCTGACCTTATGATATGCAGTTGTCATACAATGGCAGACTAGCTAAGCTAATCATCATAGGTGATGATCTGATCAGGCAGTTACACGTAGAACAATATCTGGTAGAAGAAAGAACACTTGAAGTGGGGAAAATCAGCCTTGTTGACAATACACAAGAAGAACAATCCACAGAAATGTGTGAACTACGGAACAATTACATATTTTATCCAAGCAAATTCCCTTCTCATGGTTGTTCTCAAAAGATTTAATATCTAGTAGGCTGGTTTCTGCAAAGATGATGGAATAGCGCGGCAACTCTTATGCCTAAGGCTGATAATACAGAGAGGTTGACAATGAGATTTTCAACTGCTTTATTGACCTAAACTGGCATTTAGCTCAGCATGGCAGGAATGGTACTGATGTGAACTGGAAGCTGCTTGCACTCCTGAAAAACTTTTACAAAGAGGAGAGGTTGGGATCAGCAACAAGGTAAATTACTTGTTCAGTATGATAATGGGCATCCCATTTGTTGTGTTTTGAAAGGCTTATGGATTTACAATAGCCAGAGGCCTTGTGGTAAATGTCCAGAGCAGGAGGATAAACACCTAAATTTGTTGCTGATGTTGATCTGCTGGTCAGTGAGAATAAAGGCTTACAGAGCCAGGTCAACCTTTTGAGGACTAGCAAATTATTTGGTTGTCTTTTCTACTGCAGAAGACCACTGTCTTTGCCCTGCCCATACTGAAATGAAGAGAACCATGCATTCATTAAAGTAGACCGCAGCAAGGTGGACAGTTTTTGGCACCTAGAAATCTTCATCCTATGAGCAATTGCTAGTAAAGGGATTGTGAGGAAGGTCAGGTGGTATAAAGAGCTTTGGTCAACCTGTAGGTCATGTGGAGAAACAAGGGAATCTCCATAGGCGTGCAGTTCGATGTGTGTGTGTTCTTGACCCTCCTCTTTGTGGTGGCAACGTGAACTTTCAAGAAGGCTAACACAAAGAAAGCAAGCTTTTGAAATAAAATGTTACAGACAGTTGCTCATGGTCAGCTGGTGAAACCATGTCAAAAGCGAGACGATCCAAGTAAGGACTGTTGAACAAGAGTATTGTTGACACAGTAGTGAGGAAGTACTGGCTTGTTGACTGTATATACTAGATGAAGGATAATTCTGCTTCATCCTAAAGGCTGTTCCCTTTGGCCCATTAGGGCATTGTGGATTATGAAGGAAGATGCTTGATAGTGTAGCAGAATGATGTGACATAGATGTAAAGAAGCTATCTGCTGAAATACATGACAAGGCACAAGGGAGAATTAGAGTATGATGCATTACAGGCCTCTATTATCTTTAGCATATGGGACAGAGAAAGGAAAATAGCGTTGCCATACTCATACTCCAGCCAGCATAGCTGGGTAAATTTGCTTCTCTGAGATGGATCCATAAAATTTAGACATTGAAAAGATCTATTCAAATATCAGGTGCTTTTCCCTGCCAGTGAGGAATTGCACCCTAGCAAAATTTTCTATTGCTTGAAATTAGTCAAATCTTTCTTCCCAGTCAGGTTCTACTGTTTTTCTCCATTGAGCCTTGGTGAGACATACAGCTGACATGCAATAACAGCCTTAAAATAGCTGTGCAGCTAGAGGAGTTGGAGGACTATCTTAGAACTTAATATATATCATGGTGTTCGAAAGAATGTTTAGATGTGGATCTTAAACATCCCTTTTCTTGATTTCACCTATTTCTCCTACTTACACTCTTTTAAATTGCTCTAATTCCTTTCCATTTTTGGGGCTGACTCCTTTAAGTAGCTGCGGGTCGTATTCTTCTTACATAATTATCACTTAGTGAAACTATATATATGCTCAAGACTAGAACTGTTAAAAAAATTGTAACTATTTCATAGAAAGGAAAAAAACCCATATTTTTAAAACTCTTGGAACATTTCAATTAAAAATGAAAGTTGACTGGGGGGGGGGGAAGGGAAGTTCCTTCATTTTTACTCTCATACAGCTTTCCAGTGGTGAAATACAAAAAGAAAATGTAAAAGAAAAATTTAAAAATTAAAGGATCTGAGGAATATGAAAATTGAGAACAAATCTTTTTTTTCATTTCTTGTTGAAAAATTAGGGGTGATAATAGAAAACCTTTTTATTATTCTTAAAAAAGATTATTTTGATTTTTGTAAAAAAAAAAGTTTAAAATTAAGAATTTTAGTCTAATTCTGTATTTTTCAGAGGAAACAACTTTTTAAACCTTACTTTTTTGTTGCTTTTTTTCTGAATTTCCCACTCTTTGTTTCTTTTACACAATAATGCTAAATGCATCAGTTAGCCAGAAACATTTTTGGACCTTCTGGTTGTATTTTTTCTGTCCCTGGTACATGGCATATCTGATCTCCTGTTGCCTAAGTAGAAAAGGCCCCAGGCACATGAGAGAAAAGGCCCCAGGCACAGCCACCGATCCATTAGGCCAGCTGCTGTTTTCTGCAAATATTTCTTACTGTTTATTTAAAATTTGTTGCTCAAAGGAATATTTCAAAAGTATTTAGTAAAATGGTTGAAACCTACTATTCAGTGTTTTCAATATTGTACTTTTTTCCCCAGAGAGAAAATGGCTCAGGCATATGATTTTGCTCTGGATAAAATTGGCATGGAAATCATGTCATATCAGGTATATTTTATCATCTAAGCAAAATGTATTTCTAACATTGAATATACTAACAAATAAAATGCAAAAATGATTCTTGATTTTGCTTGTATATTTTTACATAGATCTGGGTGGATTACATCAATTTTTTAAAAGGCGTGTAAGTATTTTTAAAGTATTTTTTAAGTCAATTTATGTAACACTGATGTTTGTACAGGTTGCAGTCTGTAACTGCTGACATGTTAATGTCTCACCTCACTATTTAGAGAAGCTGTAGGATCTTATGCAGAAAATCAGAGGATAACAGCTGTTCGTAGGGTTTACCAGCGAGGTTGTGTGAATCCAATGATCAACATAGAACAACTCTGGAGAGACTATAGCAAATATGAAGAGGTAATTAAAAAAGTAAAACTTGTTTTGTTTAGAAAATCTGGTCTTAAAACATGGACTCAGTATTGTACCTATCTTAAATGTATATGCACCAGGAAATTGATACTGAAAGCTCATGTTTTCTATGTGCTGTATTGAGCTCTTTGTGCATGCGTGCAAATATTGTAAAGGCACAGCATGTTAGCTGATTAGGGGCATTTTTATATTTCTTCACTTGCAGATTTTTTGTAGTAGAAAACATGTTTCCTTTGTTCATTCACTTTGCCATGATGTTTATAATGACTGTATCCACCAAGGGGATGCCAAAAGACATGGACCCCAAGAAGTTTCATCCAAAAGACTTTATTATCCTTTTTTCAGTTCTGCATTGCCAAGTCCTGTGCCGTCACTGCAAAGTAGCAGTCACCCTCTCCAATATCAAAAACTGTCTAGGCTCTCGCTGGATGGTAGAGAAAAGTTGAGAGATGCTACCCAGGAGGGGTAGATGGTAGCAGAAAGGCCATTGCCACTGATAAAGTGATGAATCTGAAATGGATACTTAGTACCTAGTTGTGGCAGCCAGGATGCATTGGATCTCTTGGCAGACAACTGTTGGGAATTCGGAAAGAGGGCCAAGTGACTGCAGAGGGCATATTTATTTATTTGGGCTATTGAATTCTTCCAAAAACCAACAGTAGGGGCGTTTTAAAAATCAACCAGTTGAAGCTCAAACTACATGTTTATGCAAGATGCCACTTGTGAGATTTCATCAGAGGCCACTACAGCTTTGGCAAAAGTAAATCTAGTCTACTTTTCTACAAGTCATTTGATACGCAAAAAAGTCATAGTACCACTTCACTGAATTTAGAGCACTGAATTGGTGGCTGTGTAAAGTTTGTGTCACTTTGTAAGACAATCATTGACACAACAGAAAGAAGGTTGAGAACTCATCTGGATAATCTGCAAACACAAGATGCATGGTCCTCAGTGCTCAGAGCTGCTTGACTCGTGAATGGTATTTTCCCCATCCTGCAGCTCACAGTAGTGCAGGTAGTAGCAGACAGCATATCAACCGTACACTGTATAAATAGGAAAAGAGCACCCACTCTCCCCCCTCTGCAGAAAACAATCAAGCTGTGGAATCGGAGTCATCGGTGGGAGCCAGGAGCCACTTTACACACATGGTAAGCAGGTAGCCTGCCACCAGTCACAAGATGATACCACTACAAAAATCTGTCACCAAGCTAATAATCTATCAATGCAGAAGAGACCTTGGGACACCAATTGTCCCAGCTGCTATTCCAGAAGAGGCATGAGCATATCTTCCTCCTTTAGTGGAAGTAAATCCCTCCTCTACAGATTTTCACTAATATGAGGAATGATTGCCAAAGCCATATAAGTCCAGACCATGTTTATTTTCAAACCTTCCTTCTAACTGAGCCCATTCTGGCTGACAGACTCATTGCAGAGTACACAAGCACTGGTGAGGTTCTCAGATCACCTGGACCAATTGTAATAAAATAAAGGTCAAGTATTCCATCCAAATCCAAAGTCACTTTTTACATGTTAAGCAAATTATGACACAGAGCAGATTGCTATCAAGTGGATAGACATAGTCCTTCAAATGTCAAGAGATTTTTGTTACGATTACTTCAGCACAGCCTGTGCTGATTTCAGTTCTGAAGTTTCTTGATGATTTGCTGCTACAGTTAAAAGGCTCTAAATTTTTGTTTGCTCTTGCTACCATCCATGTCAGGCTTCTTTCTTTGAACTATGATTTAATAATTTTTAGGTCCTTCTGGAATGGCTTATTGTTAATTGCTGTTCACTTTTTCTCCCTAGGGAATCAATATTCACTTAGCTAAGAAAATGATTGAAGATCGGAGTAGAGATTATATGAATGCTAGACGGGTGGCTAAGGTATGGACTCCTGTTTACTTCATCTTTATGCTACCTAATTCTGTAGAAGCCAGATAGAATTTAGCTTAGTTTAGCTTCAAGCGCATTTAGTGTGCAAGGCTCACAAAATTGCTATTGATAAAACTGGGTAACAACCTAAAGGATTAAATAAAAGGGATCTCTTCAAGAGTGTATATTTCTGTCTTTGATTTAAAACATTGATACCTTTTCTTCTTCAGGAATATGAAACTGTTATGAAAGGTCTTGATCGTAATGCTCCCTCCGTCCCCCCACAAAATACTCCGCAGGAGGCTCAGCAGGTTGACATGTGGAAAAAATACATCCAGTGGGAAAAAAGTAATCCTCTGCGTACAGAAGACCAAACTCTCATAACAAAAAGAGGTAACATGATTAGATAATAAGGTCAGTACTTGATGCTCTGTAGCACTTTTGAGACAAGGAAGACTTTCAGTTGAAGCAATAAAGTTCATACTCAGTGTTCTGCTATACAAGAAGTTGGTGAAATCATGTTTTTTTCTTCATATTCTTGGACTATATGCATTTTCAGAACTGTTCTTTATTTTGCCTCTAAAGTTCTGGCTGAGCTACAGCTGGTACATTGGTTTCCTCTATCCTTTAATAGTAATAGCCATGCGCTGGTGACCTTCCTTTGAAAGGCTGGCACTCTTGCTTGTGGAAGAAGTCAGATACAGATCCTTCAGCCTTTAGGGCTCTTGGAACAGCTTCACCTCCTCCTCTATGAGGGAGGGTGGTTGGGTCTGCTTTTTTCCTGCAGGCTATATGGAGGCAAAACATATTGCTAGTTGTGCCTTCTCCATTCTGTTCCCTTTTAGAATTAGTTGTGTCTGTATTATTGTGTGATACTTTGCTAGATACATGTGTAACTTAAAACAGTATTAGTAACTTTTATACAATTATGAAACTCCTTTTGCTAGGAAGACTTATCACTTCAATTTTTTTCCCTAGTTATGTTCGCTTACGAACAATGTCTTTTGGTCCTGGGGCATCATCCTGATATCTGGTATGAAGCTGCACAGTATCTTGAGCAATCCAGTAAACTGCTAGCTGAGAAAGGGGTAAGAGTCTAGTGCAAAGCTTTCTTCCTTTTTTTTTTCCTGTTCCATTTAATTTGTTTGATGGGATGATATAATGCTGTTAATTCTTCCTGAGTAATTGGGAACCAAAGAGGAAAGTGTATTTTAGCATCTTAAAATATGTAGCTTTCAGAATTTTAAATATTGTTGAATAATGTGGATGTCAAGGAATAAAAAATTGCACTTAGGAAACTTAAGAGTTACAGAACTTAACTAACTAGTATTAGCATGGAATGTTTTGTATAGTAAAAATATCAGTATTTTATGGAAGATAGATAGGTGACTACTATAAAGTGAATTGCCAGGTCCTGATCATTCAAATATTTATGAACATGTGAATCTGTGTGTGAATACTCCATCTAAATTCAGTAGATCTATTCATGTATGTAGTAGTTTATAGGCATGGGTTACTGCATGAGCAGGGCTTGCATTTTTTTCTACAGTTTCATTAAGTATTAAATGGCTTGTTATGATGTTTATTGCAGGACATGAACAATGCTAAACTGTTCAGCGATGAGGCTGCTAATATTTATGAAAGAGCAATCAGCACTTTACTAAAGAAGAACATGCTTCTTTACTTTGCCTATGCAGACTATGAAGAGGTGAGTAAAAAGACTTTCATATGGACACAGGCTTCCATGGGACAAGATGCCTTCTCTCTAAAATCTCATTGAAAAGCATTTCATACCCAAAACTACTGTATAAGGAAAATATTAGTCTTGCCAACCTTTTTCTCCTCTATTAAAACTTTTTAGGCTAAAAAAACAGTTATGGAAAAATATGTTCAGACTTTTCAGTCTTTCCACTTAAAAACTGAATATACTTTGCAAAGAAGTAGGACATTGGAAGCCTATCCTAGAGGCAGACTTCCAAAAATCTCAGCTTCTTTTCTTGTATCTTAATCTTACCTAAGTGTTGTGAGGCTTAATGTTCCTGTGACCATGGCTAGGATGGCAGAATGGAAGATATCACATCCCCTCCCCTCCCTCAGGTATATTGAGGAATTTGCCTAGTTTAACCCTATAGCTTTATTACATTGACTCACTAATAAGTGATAACCAGCCTTGCGCGTTAACTGTTGAAGATGGAGCCCTGCCCTATCCACAAATAGTCACAGATAAGGCCTGTGAACTACTGATAAGGTAAACCGGGTTGTATTGTGTACCAGTATGAGAAAAACATCATCCTACTGAGGCCGTGGGGTCTTTTTGCAGGCAAATCTCAACACAAGAGAAATGATCCCTCCTGCCTTTCCAGGAACAACTTTTGCATCCTGAATGTATTGACTGTCCAGCTTTCATTTAAGACAACCCGGTGCCATGGGCAGAAGGGACAACTAGAAACCCATAAGCACTAGAGTGAGGAAAGGGTTTCCTTGGCTGTCCTGCCTGTTGGCTTTGTCCTGGGTAAAGGAGACAATCTCAGGGTTCCAAACTCAGAAATAGTCGCTGGGTTCCAAACTCTGCTACTGTTCCTTACAAATAAAGAAAAACAAAAACTTGCATTGTTTTTTGGGGATGTTGTATCACCATGCTAATGCACAAGAAGTACAAATGAACACTACAAACTGATTATAGGCACAAAGTGAGCAAATGCAGAAATAATAAAAATGTATGTTCTAATCTCTTTTTCTTAGGTGTTTATTTGTAATAGAAAGTATAAAATGTCTTGCAGGTGTGATTTGTTTTTAAAAATTTTCCATATTATGAAACAAGTTTCCTTTGTATTCCCTCAGAGTCGAATGAAATATGAGAAGGTACACAGCATATATAACCGGCTCTTGGCCATTGAAGATATTGACCCCACTTTGGTATGATTCAGTATTATTCAGGCTTTCCACAGATCAATTAATGTTGGTCTTGATGCATTTTTAGTAACAGCAAGTGATTTAAGGAGACTTTTATAATTCACTGATGGTTCTAGCTTGTGTAAACTCGTATTCATCTTGCTTGCCTCAAAAACTTTGATATTGATTATCTTTGTAATTTAGAAATGAGCCTTGGGATCCAATTTAAAAATAAATTGGTAGAGAAAGCCTGTGGCACTGTATGTGTTTCACAATCTCCTATAGTTCTTGCTTTGTTTGCATGTTTCTTTTATGGATTATTTTATTGTATTTTGTGGGAGGAGAGGGTTATAGATGTATCCAAAGAATCTTGTATCTTGATACTTTTCTGTTGTGTGAGAAAAGTATTGCTGTTTGCATTTTAGGTGTACATCCAGTACATGAAGTTTGCAAGGCGAGCAGAAGGTATCAAATCTGGAAGAATGATATTCAAAAAAGCTAGAGAGGATGCCCGTACTCGCCATCATGTCTATGTTACAGCAGCATTGATGGAGTATTACTGTAGTAAGGTACTTGAATTATGCATAGTTTGAGAAGAAAGTTAACATTTGTACTGTTTTTTTTAAGCTAATAGTGGTATTTTAATGTTTGCAGGACAAGTCAGTGGCCTTTAAGATTTTTGAATTGGGGCTGAAAAAATATGGAGACATTCCAGAATATGTATTGGCATATATTGACTATCTGTCTCACCTTAACGGTAAGCTTTGGGAATTGAGAGAGTTGCAAATGAAACATTAATCTCTGTTTTCTGTGAGTTTGGCTTCAGACCAAGTTCTTTGCATGTTGATTTTAATTTTTTCCTGGAGAACAATAAATCTTCTTCATATAATCTGTGATTTGAGAAGTTTTTATTTTTTTGGGCCCCATAAATTTCCAGACAGGAACTGACTTTCAGTTTTATTACTAAACAAAGTAGGCTTCTGAAATCATCAGTGTGCTTTCATTGTGGCAGTGTCACTGGATCTGTTGTCAACTGTGCAAAACATTTTGAGTATAACAACAATAAATCTTCTTCATATAATCTGTGATTTGAGAAGTTTTTATTTTTTTGGGCCCCATAAATTTCCAGACAGGAACTGACTTTCAGTTTTATTACTAAACAAAGTAGGCTTCTGAAATCATCAGTGTGCTTTCATTGTGGCAGTGTCACTGGATCTGTTGTCAACTGTGCAAAACATTTTGAGTATAACAACAATAAATCTTCTTCATATAATCTGTGATTTGAGAAGTTTTTATTTTTTTGGGCCCCATAAATTTCCAGACAGGAACTGACTTTCAGTTTTATTACTAAACAAAGTAGGCTTCTGAAATCATCAGTGTGCTTTCATTGTGGCAGTGTCACTGGATCTGTTGTCAACTGTGCAAAACATTTTGAGTATAACTTTGCAGGTATTTAAAGCTGGTGCTACAGAAGTTCTCTTAAGTAGTCATGGACTGATCTTTCCATGTGGATCAATGCAGAATTCTTCCAGGGTTCATTGACCGTTACTTGTCTGGATAAAATTCATTTCCCAAAAACAAGTGTGAAAAACATAATTCAGGTCAGTATTATGAATGAACTAGCAGCTGCAAGTTTACTGTGTCTGGTGTAGGGCCATGGTTGTCAAAGGCCGCAGTGATGAAAGAAAGACCACAGAATGGTGCAGGAAGACAAGCCCATGCATGAGTCATGGGAAAAGGAGGAAAGGCTGTCAGTGCAACTTCTGTGGAGCTGGCAGCAGAGCTCTGCTGAGGCAGTTTCCAGTGTGTTTTGCATAGTTGATAGCAGATGTAGTGAAAAGGATAAAAGGACTTAACTGCACTTTTTACTGCTCTGGTCTTAGAGTGCAGTCTGCAGGAGTCAAATTCCACCATTCTGCTGTCTGAGTCTCCTTTTTTCATGATTCTGGCTCTCGGGGACTGTACTATCTACATCCATCATGCTTATCCCATGGGTTGCTTTGTTGTCTGTAGCTCTTGCCTTCAGGACTTGTGGCAATGGTGATATGGTGAACAAGGCAGTCTTCACAAGCCAAAACCAATAAGTCTACACACATATCTATCTCTTGTATGAGTTTATCATCCCTTGGTAGGGACTGTAGGAAGGCAAGTCATCCTAGATTGCTCCAATTTGGGGTATTGGTCTGTTTCCCCTGTCTTTGGACCCTCCTGTCTGAAACTGTTTTGATAAAACTTCACTAGAGGTAGAAGATCAAAGCCTATATTATTGACCTGTATTTTGTTGGCAAGTGGAGGGGTGTCTTGAGCCACTGTCCTATTTCCTCCTCTATTTTTCTAGCAGCTTGCTATTAAACCAAACTGTCCATACACTGAACAACCCAGTTACTAACCAGGTTATATAATAGTATTAATATGTTACTGCAGAACTGACATACTTCTTGTTAGCTGGGTACCTGGAGAATACTGAGAGCTACAGAGGAGACCACAAGCATTGCCTGTTAGTGCACCAGTAGGACTGGCTTCCTAGACTGCAGTTTGGATGCACTTTTAGGTTTATTTCATCCTGTTTAGCAAAGATGAAAATAAAAGCAAAGAATCACCACAGTGTACAAGGCTTTTTATTTGAGTTACACATTTCTTTAAATAGAAATGGATTTGAAACCAGCTTTATGGTTTAATTTTTTAATTGATTTTTGGTTTTTCTTTTCTTTGTTTGTGTTTTGAAGAGGACAATAACACAAGAGTTTTATTTGAACGTGTGTTAACCTCGGGAAGCCTTCCACCTGAGAAATCTGGGTAAGTTTGCCAAAATATTTGTTTTGTTATCGTAAAAACACCCCCTATCTGTTATAGGCATCAAGGGTTAACCTGAAGAAAAAAAAACACGGTAAAGTTTGAGGCAGATGTTCTTTTCCTCTTAATCCTGTCTAAAGTAACAGTGCTAAGAGCATTAAGACTTGCTCAGAGTGAAATTTGTCCAGTGTTCTCCTAAAACGTTCAGTACTTTCTGGCGGATGGCACTGCTCATCACAATCCTCCCTGATGCTTTGTGGGACATGAACACAGACACTTTAGGGAAGAGAAGGTGAGTTGGGAACTGATAGAAAAGGATTGTTATGGATTGATAAGGACAGAAAAAAGGAGAGAAATAATTGATAAGTGGAAGAGCTTGTAGACACTTCTGCTCCCAGACCGCACTAGCAGTCACATTTCTACTCCTTCATAGTTTCTAGGGTCTGAAGGGACCTGAACAGATCATCAAGTCCGAGCCCATGCCTTGAGCAGGAAAGAGTGCTGGGATCATAATACCCCAGCCAGATATCTATCCAACCTCCTCTTGAAGATCCCCAAGGTAGGGGAGAGCACCACCTCCCTTGGGAGCCCATTCCAGAGCCTGGCAGCCCTAACTGTAAAGTAACGTCTCCTGATATCAAGCCTGAAGCTGCTCTCACTCAATTTGTAGCCGTTATTCCTTGTTATCCCAGGTGGTGCCCAGGGGAACAGAGCCTCATCTATTTTTCCGCTGGTCCCCCCTGGTGAGTTTATAGACAGCCACCAGATCCCCTCTCAGTCTTCTCTTGTGGAGGGTGAATATATTCAGGCCCTTTAGTCTATCTTCGTAGGGCCTGGCCTGCTACCCCCAACCACACGAGTGGCCCTCCTCTGGACCCTCTCAAGGTTAGCCACATCCCTCTTGAAGTGTGGCGCCCAGAACTAGATGCAGTAACTCCAACTGTGGCCTGACCAGCACTGCATAGAGAAGAAGGATAACCTCCCTGGACCTGCTTGTGATACACGAAAAGGTGCGGTTAGCCTTACTGACTGCTTCCTCGCATTGGCGGCTCATGTTCATCCTGGAGTCAACAATGACTCTAAGATTCCTTTCAGCTACTGTGTTGTTGAGAAGGGTGTTCCCCAGCCTATAGGTGTGTTGCTGGTTCCTTCTCCCTAGATCTAGCACCCTGCACTTGTCTGCATTGAATTCCATCCTATTTTCATCTGCCCACCTCCATGACCTGTCTAGATCTAGCTGGGTTCTGTCCCTCCCCTCCAGTGTGCCCACCTTGCCCCACATCTTTGTATCATCAGCGAATTTGGACAGCGTGCTTTCCATGCCCACATCCAAGCTGCTGATAAAGATGTTGAATAGCACAGGCCCGAGGACCGAGCCCTGCGGAACCCCACTGCCCACATCCCTCCAGGATGAAAATGACCTGTCCACCACCACTCTCTGGGTGCGACCATCGAGCCAATTTGCCACCCATCTGGCTGTGTAGGCATCAGTGCTGCAGTCACCTAGTTGTTTTATGAGCATGGGGTGAGAAACAGTGTCAGAGGCCTTCTTGAAGTCCAGGTAGACAACATCCACCTTGATGCCTGCATCCAAGGACTTTGTGACCTGATCATAAAAGGAAACAAGGTTAGTCAGGCAGGATCTGCCCTCAGTGAACCCATGTTCGTTGCCCCTGAGCATTACCTTCCATGCTGGGCCCCCGCAGATGTACTCCTGGATAATTTTCTCAAAGGTCTTCCTTTGTAAAATGTAAGTCATTCCAACAAGGATGCACACCTTAGACTTCCCCTCAAGGAAATGGCCAGTATTTACCAGGGGTGGGTAAAATATGTCCTGTGGGCCAGATCTGGCCCATCAAGGGATTTTATTCAGCCCACAGTGGGTCCCTCAGCCCCACCTGGCTCAGGTGTGGGAGGCAGTTCAGGCCATGGCACATGTGGCCAGTTGCACTGCCCCTAGACGTACAGTGAAGCTGGGGTGGTGCAGCAACTGGACTGCTTCCTGGCAGCTCCAGAGGTGGTGGCTTCTTCCAGCTGCTGCTGCCAGTGTCATCACCACTGCCTGGGCACCATCTGCCCTGCACCCACCGCTCAGGGTGCTGGGCCAAGTGGGCAGGTGGGGTCTCCATGTATGGCAGGGTGTGCTCACCAGGCAGATGGGATGGGGCTGTGGGCAGGAGGGGAGTGGTGTCCAGGTGCGAGTGGTCAGGCGGGGCGAGGCTGGGATTGTGGAGCAGTTACAGCCAGGTCACTGTCCATGGAGACCCTACGTGCCTGCCCATGCAGTGAGTGCCGGACCCATCTAGTAATCTACCACTTAGGGAGTTTTGGTGGGTGGGGAGTGCTGATCTGGCCCACAGCAGCTCACCAAAACACTGTACTTGGACCTACAGACCAAAAAATTGCCCATCTCTTGTAATCTTGAAACCCCAGGCATCCTGAAACTTGGTAGTCACATGTTACATCATTCTGCTTACTCAGGGGACTGACAGTTGTTGCTTCCAGTTGTCTGGTAAGCATTTGCATCTCTATTTTAGAGGAGAAAATAAAGTGCAATTTGAGTCTAATCCTCCTCAAAAATGGGCTGTGAAGTTGCAATGAAAGTTGAATTAAGTTTAGACGTGTACTCAGAGCTCTCGTAACGAAGCCACATGAGAGTTTCTGCACAGCTTAGTTATAATTTAATTTTTTTAATGTTTTTTTAAGCTGTGTGAAATTGTATGGTATTTCCCTCCTGTGCACTGAGAGAGTGCATTCTGGTATATTGTTTTCACACCAATGTGTCAGGCTAAAAATGTAGAGTACACTTCTTTCTGTATTGAATGGCACCTTGCATCGTGGCTAAAAGGAAATTTGTTGGGGTGGGGTAGGTCAGGCAAGTAAACAGAGATCCAGTGCTCCCTACTGAATGCTGAAAATCACTGCCCCTTCAGTAGAAGTGGGGATTTATTCTAATATTTAAAAGATAAAATTCCCCTCTCCCTCCTCTTTTCTGTCATTGTGCAGAACCCTGCACCCCTGGTTAACCTGTCTGTCTTCTTTGCCACTGGCCAGTTCACTGCAGTGGTCTGGGGTACATAGTTTGTCGGGTGTTTTAAGATTTTTCAGAATGAAAGGTGCCATCAAAATGTGAGAAATTATTAGGAAGGTAAAAGTAGTGGTATTTATTTTGTCATGAATCAAAATTGAACATGCACTTGAATAAAGGACATCTTAAATGGGAATGATTGTGCTTCTAGATCTCTGCTATTGGTGCTTGACATCTGGGTATCTCTATGCTGGGATGGATTCAGCATAGCTTTCTTCCTAAGCAATCATTTACTTATTTTCTCTTCCAGAGAAATCTGGGCCCGGTTTTTAGCTTTTGAAAGTAACATTGGTGATCTAGCTAGCATTCTTAAAGTAGAAAAACGGCGGTTTACAGCATTTAAAGAAGAATACGAGGGCAAAGAAACTGCTCTGCTGGTAGATAGATACAAGTTCATGGATTTATACCCTTGTTCTGCAAGTGAACTTAAAGCTCTGGGTTACAAGGTAGGTGGCTGAGAACATTTAATTTTGTCACAATTCTTCGCTTTGCCTTGCACTTAACTGGTGGTCTGTTCCATGACTAAGGCCACACAACCCCAAGCCTGGAACACTTATCAGCATTTTTATTCTACATTTTGAAGATGGCTCTGAGTGGATTTTTTTTACCACTTTTTTTTTTTACTACTGCATTTCAATGTAAGCAATATTGGGCTGTTGCTTCCATGGGCTCCTTTTAATGTCCAGCTGCTTTAGTACATAGTGAGACGCACTTGGGACAAATTCATCCCTGGATTAACTTCACTCTGGTTAAACAAGGGGTAAATTTAGCTCTCAGTCTCTTTCTTGGGCCTTTCATTGAAATTGGGTTGCCAACCAACAGTGGAACCAGCCCGCTGCTCCCTGTCCTTTAACTAAGTGTCAGGCTCTAAGAGAGGTGGGGTTGGAGGGTAAGGACATGACTAACACACGTCTGCTTTAGCATCTGACGAAGTAGGTTACTGCCTACGAAAGCTTATGCCTCTGAACTAAGGTGCCACCCTGCACTGCCTTTGCTTCTTCTCTAACTAGTATTTCAGCTTTTGGCTGAGAGGCTGCCATAACAGCTTTGCCACTCAGCCTGCACCAGTTTAAACCAAATCTATTTAAATCTGGTTTTGCACGGAATTAAAGTAGTGCAGCTTGTGTGTGGACAAACCCTAAATGTTTGTACTGTGCCTGCCTTCCTGAGAAAAAAGAATGTCTTGCATTTGAAAGCTTGTCTAACTTTATTCCAACTCCATAATTGGTCCAATAAAAGTATCCCCCTTTAAGACATTCTTGTGCTGTGCATGGAATAGGGCTAAGTTTCAGTTAATGACACAAGGCCATCTATAGTGACACTTTGTTATGACTGGATTGTGATATTACCAAGTTCAGTGCTCTCTGTTTTGTATTTTCAGGATGTCTCACGTGCCAAACTAGCAGCCATAATTCCAGACCCAGTAGTGGCTCCTTCCATAGCGCCTGTTCTAAAAGATGAAGTGGACAGAAAACCTGAATATCCCAAACCAGACACACAGCAGATGATTCCATTTCAGCCAAGACACTTAGCACGTAAGTTCAAGTTTAGTTCTGATTGGGTTAAAGATACCACATCATACACTCTATTCATTGGCCAGAAACAGCCTCTTAATTTGCATTGAGCCCTTTCATTTGTGATTAATGGGACTAGTCAGAGACTATCCTTATTCAGCAAAGCACTTTAGCTTGTGTCTAATTTCTGGACACTTAAATGTTTAAATCCCGTTGGAACTATGAAACAATGTAAAGGTGTATGTTTGCCCAGTTTGGATAGGGATGGTCCTGCCTCAGGCAGGAAGTTGAATTAGATGCCCTCTGGAGGTCCCTTCCAGCCCTACTTTTCTGTATCAAAATTTAGGCATCTACTCGAGTATTTTGCTGAAATGGGACCGCATTAAGATATGGCCTGAGACTCTTGCTAGCTATACTCAGCTCCTGTAGATTGTTTTATGGTGTTCAGCTCTGTAGACCAGGGGTCAGCAACATCTGGCCTGTGCAGCCACTGGATCCAGCCCAGAGAGCCCAATGGCTTTGTCCATTCCCCCTCCACCCATACCAGGGCTAAGCAATTTCTGAGCCACTGCTGTGTCTTCCTCTTCCCCCTTCCGTGCTTCACCAGCTGTAGTGCAGGTGCAGCCGGTGGGAAGCTGTGCTGAGCCCAGGCAGCTGGAAGCTGCATCCACACAGCTGCCACTTCTTTGTCTCCAATGTGGTACAGAAATGGCTGCAGCTTCCAGCTGCTTGGCTGACACAGCTCCCCACTGCCTGGAAGCTGCACCTGTGCCTAGTGAGGAGCAAGGGGCTGGGAGAAGCCCTGATGGCATGGGCACAGGTGCAGGAAAAGCTGCAATGCTGTGGAAGCTGTGCAGTCCACATCTACCTGGAACCAGGCTGTTCTGGCCCACAGCTAGAAAAGGTTGCTGGCTGCTGCATTAGACAAAGAAAATAAGACACAAGTGCTGTTGACATTACTGGTCATTTGTTGACATGCACTAGTCATTTGTGTCGATGCAAAGGCTGTTCAGATGGAACTGCTCGCTTCACCATTCACACACAACTGATTAGTGTTCTGTCCCCCATTAGCTCCAGGTTTACATCCCGTGCCAGGCGGCGTCTTCCCAGTCCCACCAGCTGCTGTAGTTTTAATGAAACTCCTTCCACCTCCTGTTTGTTTTCAGGTTTGTTACAATGATTTAATAGATTCTGAAGGCTTACAAATGTAACAGATAAAAATAATTTGTTCCATAAAGTGGGTTTGGCTGCCCTAGTGGCATATGTGAGGGGTTAAACTGTGGCCCCTGCTTGGTTCAGCTTCCATTACTTGCACCTGTCCTCAGGGGTGGTGTGCAGCGTGGAAGTCCATGGCGCAGTGCAACAGGAAAGCCTGCAGCTGATTACTTGTGGAGAGGGGTGCCCATTGGGGCACGCAGTGTGGTGGAGTGGGATACCCACTCATGTGGAAGAGTGGGAAAGCAGGCTGCCCACATATGCCGTGCAAGCTGGGAGAGGGTGAGCAGAGAGAAAGGCAGGCATTTGGGCGGGGGGGGGCCTTGGCTTATGCTATTACAGTGCCACTGGTGTGACCTGTGCAGGGTGCAGCCTCCAGCTGCTGAGGAGTGGGACAGCCCTACCACTAAGTGTTGCATTTGAGTACAAGTTACTTTTACATTTTTGGCAATGCAACATCTCCTAATCAAGTATCTGCTCTCCCTCAAAACCAGGGCCCTTTTGTGCATGTGGATGAACTCATGGAAATTTTCCGAAGGTGCAAAATGCCAGAAAGTAAGTTGTTGCCATACATCCCTGTATCTTACCCTCCCTTATCAGCAGGCAGTTGCCAGTTAAGACCTACTTAAGTTAAAGATGTTTGTTTTCCTCAATTTTATTTCTGCCATTAAAGTAGCTACCTAGCAGTTCTGCTACGTAAATATTGAAGTAGCTATACCTTTACCCCTGCCCTTCAGTAGGTCTCATCATTGTACCTAGATTAGGCTGCTGCTAAACACCAGAGATTTCCTATACAGGCATGAAGACTATCAGGTCAATGTAAATGTGTAATTCACTGATATATGACTGTTCCTGTTCAAACTGCTGTAAGTAATACTAGACATTTC